AACATTGGACTTATATATACATCTAAGGGAGAAATTCCCACTAGTCTCATGCTATACAGTTGGTACTAAATCAAGAAAAGATTTTATAAAAAAATAAAAATAAAAGGAGAAGATTGTTTACATCAAATCGAGATTTCGTTCGAACTAGACTTTTCGTTGTGTCTTTTCGAAGAAATCCGTGACACGCACCCAGCTATTAAATGCGTGAACTCCTTCCGCGGAAGCGAGAGCCCAAGATATGCTGTGACTAGGATTCTGTGCTCTGTGGAGCTGTGCCTGGTATTGCCCGAGGTGGCGATAGATAAAGTGGTTAGGGGACTTCTCTTCTCCCCAGGTGCAGGTTAGAATGGCGTTTTCATGCTGAAACCGTCGATGGTAGTCCGCGAAGTCGCCATGACCGGACCGTGAAGCTAGTAGATATCCTAATGCTCGTCGCCCCAGACGGGCGTGCTCAATGGTGATCTTAGTATTAGGACCAATACCTAGTTCTTTGTATCTAGGAGGTGCAATTTCTGCCCAATATAGTGCGACTGAAGCCTCGTATTGGGATTGGACTTCTCTCCTTGCCCTCGCAATGGAGAGTTCTAAGTGTGGAGCTGGGGCTGCACAGGCAGCTTTGGCAAGCGCGTCGGCTGCTTCGTTCCCGAGAATACCTGCGTAGCCTGGGCACCATTGGATAGCCACTTTCTCAGGCGTCGTATTTTGACCGTGTGATCTTCTCGTCCAGTTCGTTGCGGGCTTGCGAAAGATTAATATTTTCGCTGAGCTGGACGGTGTCAGCATATCCAAGAGACGACGAATGGCAGCCTCCTGTTTATCAAGGCAGACAATGACGTTAGAGGCATAATAGGCCAGTGGGTTGGGAGCATACGCAATTAAAGTTTGATGCAACAAATAAATGTGGTACTGGCCCTTTGACACGCATTGCGTGCAGTTCGGTCTAGTATGTCTAGATTTCAATACTTCTAGACAACCCTAACGCCGTGCAGGCTCTATAAAGCGGCTGAACTGGATCGTAGCAGTCTGTGTTCGACAAATTTCGACTCGGGTAGGTCAACTTCTATCAGTTGAAGTCCGTTGAATACTGGGCCATTCCGGAATTATCGGGAATGAGCAGGCAAAAACATTGGCCAAGGCAGCCTTGAAAGATCTCCCATACTTAAGGGATAGACAGAAACACACCTTTGTATCTCTGAAACGGCTCGTCCAGGAGCAGGCTGAGGAAGCTGTAGAATCCTAGTGAGTTGAGTATAGACCAATTCGGTGCGAAGAATTAGACCTGTGTATGATACGGCAAGGATCACCCGAGCTTGGATTGCCGAGATGGGCTGTTTAAATTGGGTTACAATCGGCAATTCCTATTCAAATTGTGTTAGATTGCAGGCTTCTGTCATGGGTGGGGGGACTATTCTCGACACCTGTCAGTGGTGTCTCCTACGAACCTCCAGCTCCTACTGTAGAGTCTGCAGAGCCGAGATTGAGTAACACCTTATCAAATTTGAGCTGAGTTATCTCCTCCTCAGTCAAAGATACACTTCCGATAACACATAAGACGACAAAGACGACGATAATGATGCTGGGAATGAGGAAAGATAATGCGGTACCAAACGCTACAACGGTAGTCAGAGAGGTCCTCGTTACATCACAACATGTGCTACCCACCGGCGGGCGAACAAAAAGCCCACGAAAGCAAAGTAAAAGACCCTTCCGCCCTCAAGAAATGCAGATTTTGACTCGTCTACATTATCATCCCTACTAATCATAACTTCCGAATCCACTAGCCAGGAGGGCATCTGAAATACATGAGTTACTCGACGACCCCACGTCCGTAAGGACTTTTGGATGTTAGGCTAGGCTTCTTTACGATAGTCACTCTCGACCAAGACTCATCTGACATCATTCCACGACCTTCGGTTTGTCCTGGGGCATGAATCAGGGAAATGGGGAGGAGGCTAGGAAATTTAAGAGATGCTCTCTGGTATACATAGGTCTGCTGCGCCCGGCTGGCCGGCCTCTTCGTCATAGGAGAGCCCCGCACCCAGTGGTTTTTGAGACTTTTCCTTGCAGCTACACACCCGCAAATGGCCATCGTTTAGTTGGCTGGATAGGGGAGATAATGACGGGATAACGGCTCCTCTTAGTGTGTACTCGAATGAAGACCTGTGGGGGTATTACTGCTGGAAAGAAGTCGTGAGGGAGGCAAAGGAGGGAGTACACTACCCGAGGCATAGAAACTCCCGGCCTGTAGGCAGAGAGGACCCACATGTCTTTACATAGTTATAGACTTTTTAGGACAATAATCACTCACTCTGTCATGGGTTTTCATGGGTTCGTAATTAAGGTTATTTTTAAGATTTGGCTTCGGTTATTTCACTGATCAGCGAGCAGGCAGCATATTAAGGAGGCATGTAGCTTATGTGGAAGTATCGCACGGTGAAGTGTCTCTGAAGCTACAACGTATTGTAGTAGCTAAAAGAATACTGCAATTCGGAAACTACAGCTCTAACCCAGAACCATGAGATAAATCAGGCTATGCACGCTGGATTTAGAATGGCTAGCGGATATGGTGAACATGAGAGTAAACATGCAGATATATAAAGACATTGTAGCCTCTTATTGTAGGACAAGTCTTCTGCTAAGTATATCAGAATCAATCCTAGCCTCTCATTAAGCAATCTCATGAATCTATTTCCGTGTCTATGATAATAGACCAATATACAAAGTCGATAATGGGCGCACTATCGTCTGATAGCAGTAAGGATAGGACACGATTACTTCAAGGGCTGTTGGGAAATATACTCTGAACGATATTATATGGATAAATATGATGAAGTAAGAAGACTTGATATTTTAAGACTACGGGAACATTGGACTTATATATACATCTAAGGGAGAAATTCCCACTAGTCTCATGTGCCTGTCAACCCTTGTGATGACCAGCCACCTCTCATCTACCATGATGAGCCAAGATACACTGTAGTACGTAAATATCCAAACGTATATGCAATGGTAGGAGCGATGAGCGCACTCGGGACATGTGTAGAGAGAGTCGATCTTGTCGAGAACCTGAGACGAGACAGGTAATGGTTGAGTCCTAAATTCGAGAGTCAGAATTTCCAACAAGGGCTAAAGTGACAGATTCAGGCACAAAAGTTTTGACGGCGGATGTATCTGTAGAAGGGAGAGATGTACCTGGTACTTTGCAAGGTGCCGAACAGTTCTGCGACAATGGAGAATATCCAGAAATTAGTCACCACTTAGAACACGGGTTATGTTGGCAGAAAATGGATGAGAGGAATTCTTTGAGTACATAATCGTAACGAGGTGTTACTTAGGGCAATATATACAAATAGGATTAATCTATCTCGAGAGACTAGAATCTTTTAGCAATTTGATATGAAATTGGGCAAGGAGCTTGGCATTTACTGTTTAGGGAATTTTCATTATCTATTTTTTCATGTACTTACTCTGCATAGAAAGCTGAACGGATAAGTAGTAATGAGTCTTAAGGGATCACACACCCGTATCATGCCTCTTGGGTGTAGGGCTTTTGTCCGATACGATATTTATACATGCATACATTTACATTTTATTTTTTTGCGGTACTCAAGGAATATTTTCAGACTGAAATCTGACAATTCTAAATAGTTGTATGCCTTTTGTCTAATTACAAAGTTGATGAACAATAACAAAAGATATCCAATCTTTTTCCCCTTAAAAGTAGTTGTACATGAGTGATATATTAATTTTTTCTTTTAACTTTATTATACTATCATTGGAATCATATTCTTTTCTCCATATCAAATTTCCGTATTTTTTAGCTGAACATGCCCTTTTAGAGGATGCAGTATTATGTTGACCACCCTCAAAAACATATATAATAAGTCGAACGTTATTCTGCAATTTAAAGTCGCCTTAGACTTTTCAAAAGTTAACCAAAACAACTGGTCGCTTTTATGAATCTAGCGTAATTTCCATAATAACCGGGTAACTAGCGATAACCATGGTTGAGAAACAGTTTAGATTATAATTTAATATGTAAATGCTGTATTTACGGTTGTGGCCTGTATATTTCTATAGACCTTTAGCCGTTTTTAGAAAGTTGAGCACCCCCTTAAATACTATGAAATAAGTTATCATAATCATTTTTATGCAGGTTAACCCAAGATATAGAAAAATTTTGGCTGGCAGGCTAAAACTCTTGTATTATATTGTTACGGGCAAGAAATTTGAAAGTTAGACCATATCCTCGCGCCCTTATAGCTTTTTCTTGTTTGAGCCACAATGCAAAAGTGTCAACTATTTTGGAATTGTTTCTCGTGACTGTAGATGAGGGAAAGCTGACGAAACGATTACCGATTTCTCTTATTATCGTAACATGAAATAATCTCTTCGAACTCTTTGTAAAGCTAATAAGCTCTTGTCTAGATGCACCATATAAATTGTTGTCCTTTAGTGTGTAAATAATCAGTGAATGAAATTTTTACTTGGTCAAGGCTTATGGAAAAGTCGGATATTTCAAGTTTTGCTATATGAGTAATATTTTGGATAATCAGCTTGCATAGCTCATGGAAATAAGAGAGTTATGCCAGTCGGATAAATAAATAGCTTCACCTGATTTGTGATTGCTATGATATTCTAGGTTGTTTGGCAACTACCGTTATCTCACACTGAAGATAAGCTGCCAGTCTTTGGCTCAGAACTCTTTCTAACTTCAATATATTTGATAAATGTTCTTGTGTCTCTAGGTGTGTTCCAACTGTGTAGAATAGATATTATTCTGGCAGGGTGCAGTTAGTTCCTCTGATTAGAATCTTAAACTTCCCCAAAAAACGGAAAAGAATTATTAGATGCTTTATGCTTCGATAAGCGATACATTGAGGTTTAGTTATTTGTTGATCTGGGCTTCAGATTGAATTAATCTCATAGAAAGCGTTCATACAATAGCTTTATCTGAAGTAGAATCAAAGTTTTGCTGTGGACATGGAGAACGGATCGGCTTATGTTAAAAACTTGAGTAAAGTCGTTAGCATGTCCTTCATCACAATTTCATCTTCTGTTTCCTCTAGTATGGCATCAATTTGCTCTGTCTGATATTAGCGATATTTCAAATAACCCCAAATAGATAAAGAGAGTATGATAGTGAACGCACCTTTGATTGTCTGGGCCACTGACTCAATAGTATCAGTTTGATCTGCTAGTAGTAACCTTATCTTTTGATTAGCCCCATCGTCTTCAGCTACAAGCCATGCCAAGATAACGTCAATTATCTGTAAGCAATATAAGCCAGCATCCAGCTTACGTGAAAGCCATATGTTAGCCATTGCTTCCCTCATTTCTGCACTAAGATTGAAGTGCTCTTTACGAATACTCTCATTAACTCTTGCCAAACATTGAGTGTAGGTTTTGCGAAGATCTATAAGTTTGATAATTTTCTCGTAGTCTTTCTCCACGAATTTAGCGAGGGTACGAATCCTAGATGATGAATCGGCAGGAAGATTTCTAAGAAGTGAAGAAAAAATTCCGAGGAAATGTTCGGTCACGGCGCTATCATGCTTCTTCATGAATTTCCCAAAAATAACCTTTAGTCCCGCTGCTTCAACTAGACGCTCACTTACTTCAACTTCATTGGTTCCACCGAGAGCATGATCAAGCAGCCGAATAGCGCGAGTCTTGCTCATCTTTCCCTCCGTAATCATTATGAGGCATAATTCTACGCCTTCTGCTTTAACAAAATGCGACTTTCCATCAACTTCATCAACAACACAAACCAGAGCATCAAATAAGTTTTCCATGAATTCTTCTTCTTCGGTGCCTTTTGCAGGGTCTCGCTTCCGATAAGTAGCAAGCAGCTCTAGAAGTAAGTTTACACCATCTATCTCGCATATTTTTTTCCTGTTGAGCGACGACGTGTGGAGGAGGATAACAAGTACTTCTGCAGCGTATTGTTTGTTCTGGCTGACTGTTTTCTCTGGCTTTTTAATCCGTTCTAGAACCCACTCGAAAACGGCTGTTTCTCGCCCAATTTTTTCGGCCAACGTTGCTTGCGATGCCATGCTCTCTAGGACACTCAGTGAATAGTATACACCATGCTTATCTGATTCGTTTTCTTCATCGAAACGCATAAGGTTTGATACTAAGAGCTCTAGTAAATCTGCCTTGAGCATAGCGTCCACAATCTCATTCCAATCTCCTTGCACCGCTTCAGCGTCCTCATCGATTAATTCACTGATTATTTGGATAGCGCCAATAGCGATATCTGTGTTCTCATGAGCGAGCAAGCTAACTAAGCTGGAGACGCATCCAAGCTTGACAAATTCTGCATACAATGTTGGGTGCTGAGACAGTATTCCAATTGCTTTTATTTCAACGTCTAATTCTTCCTCGCTAGTCATGAACTTTTGAGGATCATTCTCATACTTAATCCGCAGTTCCGCATTCGTGGATATCTTTCTTTCAAACTTGAGAGCCAGTCTTCTTAACCACGCTGAGTCAAATATTTCAGTTTGTTGGTCATTCACAGTTTTTTCGTCAACATAATCAAGGATTTCGTTTTCTTTTTGCGTCACCCCACCACCAAAAAATCGACCTTCCTCATCGTCGGGGAGATCTGGTCCATAATCTTCTTCATCAATTGGGACTGTAGGGCCGGACTCGATATCATTTTCCGTCAGTTTGCTTGGGGTTCGCGCAATAATTTTTGTTGTATTTCGGGAGCTTATTTTCACTGATTTATGGACATCATCTAAGATATGGTTAGACAAGATAGTGGCAGGCATTGGGAAGATTACTCGGATGACGGGAAATTTCAATCTTTCGTTTATTGCTGGGCAATGCTGGCTAACATTATATAAGCGCTGTATAGATGTTGATGTTCGGAGTAGTATACCTTAAATAGGTTATCAAGGGTCTCAAGGTTCGACATAGTCACGTAAGTAGGGATTTCGATGTGTGCTGTGTGCTATATGTGAGCATAGGTAAACCGCTTAAGTATCTCGGACTTTAGACACCACTATTCAGATAGTCGAGTGGCTAATAACTTAATTCTGTTACACGCGCCGCTTTTTAAGGTGCGTTACAATTGTAGCGACATCTACATATTTTCACACGGTATCACGTGCCAACGATCGCTTTTGACATTAAACATTTAGACAAGGCATGATATGGACAATATTAACTCATGAATGAATCATGTCTCTACATGATAAGTTGTGTATCCCCTCGTATGCCTCCCATACGGCTCCCCTAAAACAGTACCACGCCTCACAAGTGCTCATTCGATCATACACTAAGAGGAGCCCTTAGCCCTTCATCATTTCCCCTCTCCAGCCATCGAAACGATGGCTATATGCGGGTGTATGGCAGCTGGGAAAAATTGCAAAAACCACTGGGTGCCGAGCTCTCCTAATACCGACATTAGGGCTAAATTCGAAGACATAGTGACCCTTCCGAAGCGTTTGAAGAGGCCGGCCAGCTGGGCGCTGCAGACTTGTGGGTACCCCGGAGAATTCACCCTTTGCCTTTCTAGCCTCCTTTCAACTCCTTCCCGAAGGTCGTGCTAGAATGTCAGAAAAGTCCTGACAGAGCGTGATTGCTGTACAATAGCTTAGCCCATTTTCTTTTGTGCCATCTAGGGCGCTGAGGAGTGCTGCTGACTGATTGACAATAGAAGTTGTCCTGGCTAGTTTGCCGAAATCTCGGTCTTGGCACCTACAAAAGTTCCGAAGTTTAAAACTGTTACAGTTTGACCGTTGTTTAAGTTCAGGAGGAAACCTAAGCGTTTAATTAGGAATAATCACGATAAGACTGAAAGAGGAAGGATGGGCAAATATAGATGAAATGGCACTACTAGCCAGGAGGTCGAGGCAACATCATAGCGTAATGGCTCCTGATAATACTTGGCTCGGTAGCAAGTATTAGGCCTAGGGAAATATTATCAGACAGCAGATTCACGAAGCGGACCAAATGTTATAAATAACTGTTAGTAGTAGCTAGAGATTTCTTTTCTCTTCATATTGTTTAATAAATCGATTTATCCATCACTAACTCGGTTTCTGTCACAAAAACCCTCGAAAATATTGGTCCAAGCATGATCTTCAGAGACATGTTCCACCCCTCGCTTCAAATCTCAGCCGTATTAAAATGTGTAACCCACTACTTAGTTCGTGGACTTTATTGGTAAAGGGAAGCTTATGCAACAATGAAGGATAAAAGGATGTCAATTCGATTACACTACTAAACACTGGTACCAGACTCCTATTAACCCCAATAGATAGCCCGTGCGGGATCTCCTGTTAAGAGCAGTAAGCAACGCTAGCACAGGGTACACGCAATCTTCATTTGCCAAACACCAGTCGGTCGGGACTACTAATTATCGAGCCTAGTAGGATCGACAAAGTGTATCCCAACACAGAAATAATAGAAAACTCAACAACCAAACCCTTCATCCGAACAATTCGAGAAGCCCCCAATTTGCCCATTCCCACCCTGTTATCCATCTCACCCTCTGACGAAGGAATCGAATCGCAATTGTTTGCCATCGGCGGCATTTTAAAATGCCTCCGACGCGTAAAACGCACCAAAACGCGATCAGCGGCATCACCAAAGATCGCGCCAACAAACCTTATCAATGGCATACCGCCATTCAAAACCACGCAAAGAACATGCTATCAAGGCGAGGACTCGAGTCCAATCTTCAAAACATGAACACTATTGCGGCTGCGCTCCAAGCGAAGGAGAACGATGTCCCCGAGGTAGAGATGGTGGACGCAGAAGTCGAGAAGTTAAAAACCCTCGCCGATTCAGTTTGGGCATCCTCCAGCCCAGAAGACGCAGAACAAGTCTTGGATCCCACCGGATCCCCCAGAAAAACCGTCGTCGCACCCGAGAAGCGCATCACGGTTCCAGCACTACCGCGTCCTGCAGAAGTGAGGCCCGCGAAAAGGGCTGAAATACCATCCACTAAGGCAGCAGGAGCCGAAAACCCTCCACTGGCCCTGCAGCCTCCAGCACTAGAAGCAGCAGGCGGAAAAAATACATACCCTCCAGAATTGCTTGCAGCGATCGAAGCGGAGGAGCGCAGGGCAAGAAAAAAAGCCGCGCTATTCACAATATGCTCGACAGCTATTAGCGGTGTCGAGGCAGCTCTTCAACCGCTCTCCACCGGTGAAGACAAAAATTTTGTAGACTCCATAAAGGTCTACCTAAGGGCAGCAATCGCGCAATTCGTGGCGGCCGAGCCAAACACTGCTCCGCCAGTCCTACCCCAACGACCAAATGTCGCGACTCCCCCTGCGACCGTCATCCCAGTAGCCGTTCCCCGTAATATTACAAAGGCTACTGCACCTCTTCAGCCCAGAAGCACCTGGGCCACTGTCACCAGAGCAGGACACCAAAAGTCAGGAGCACAGGCTCCTGCAAACATCACCTCGGTTTCGGCTATTCCATCTACGAGGAAACCGGAGAAGAAACCAGCAGCAACAACAGCATCGAAAGATGACCGACTCTTCCTGCGTCTCGATGCAAACCACGAGTGGAGACAGCTCTCTCCGGCTGGCGTTCGCGAAGCCGTGGCTAAACATACGCAATGCGCCCCGTCCGATGTCGACCAGGTGCAAGGCGTTCCCACTGGCTTTGCCATCCGTGCCAAAAACCCGGATGCAAAAACTCGACTGCTGGAGGCCTCCAGCACCTTTACGCAAGTGGAGGCAAAACTAGAACCACCAAGTGATCTAGTTTCCCTTCGGATTGCTACGGTTCCAGTCGCCGTGTTCGGCCTAGAAGGACGAATCGAAGTCACTCCCGAAATGGTTGCCGCAGAGATCTTCAGGGTAACTAACTACACTCCAGACCGAGTAAGAATTCACGGTATAACCAAGCTCGGGGCCCCCTACAGATCCTGGGCGGCTCTCTTCCTAAAAGAAGCTAGCCCAAAGCCGGGCTTCAGGCTCTTCGACGACTCAGGAGTCGCTACAATACAACGAAACCGCCCTCCCATACAGCAGTGTAGGCGATGTCTCGGTTTCCACGCCACCCGCAGATGCTCTCGTGCACCCGCCTGCTAGAACTGTGGATCCACCATGCATTCAGCCTTCGAGTGTAAAGCTCCAACCAAGTGCCGAAACTGCGGAGGGCCCCACCAATCTGGCAGTCGAGACTGCCTGGCGCGGCCCAACAGGTCTGGCCCAGCCACTAAGGACCAACTTGTGACGATCCGACAAGCTGGCCGACAGGAATATCAGGCCGTCGCCAGGGCCAAAGCTGCAACTAAGGCCGCAGAGGCTGCTACAGCTGCCGCAAGAGCGACCCGACCAGCTTCTCCAGCTGTTGGTAAGGACACATCTTCGACAGACACAGCAATGGCTGAGGGTTCGGGCTTTGGGGCCTTGAACCCTGAAGAAGTTTTGTGAAGGGCACCCTACGGGCGCCTTCTCGCCCCCCTTCAACACTAAGTTTTATGTCAATAAACGTAGGCAGGGGTGGCACAACCCACAACATTGCGCTTTCTCGAGCTTATGAGCTAGGCGTAGATGTAGTGCTAATTCAAGAACCCCGATGGAATTTGAGATCAAAAGAAACCATATCACACCCAGGGTAAATCTGTCATATACCGCACGGAGGTGTAGATGTCAGACCGAGGGCTGTGACATACACTCGAAAGTCCAAAAATGTTATATTAGCAGAACAGTTATTTCCTTGTTCCACACCTACTGGTGATTACTGCTGGGTAAAGGTCAATGGAATCACTTTTCTCAACGTTTATAAGGCTCCTAAAGACTCGAATGCTGCTCGCCCGCTTTTCGACTGGAAACCTTCTGCGAAGTTCATTGCAGCCGGGGACTTCAACTCAGTGCATGCAGCCTGGCAGCCAGGAGTAACTCGGCCGTATGGACAGGGTGATGAGATAGAGAGGTGGGCAGAAAACCACAATCTCTCTTGCCTTATAATTGGAGAGCCGACCCATAAAGCTGGCAATACTCTGGATCTCGCCTGGACGAACATATCTGGAGCCCGCCCTTGGGTCGATCGGGAGGAGTGTATGACCAGCGACCATCTTCCGATCCGCGGAATCGTACCTGCAGCAACCGTTACAAGTGACACGGCTCCAGCAAAGATCAAGGTACCCAAGGGAAATCTGCCAAAGTTTGCGCGGGCCATTGCAAAATGGGTACATCCGCCCTCAGATTTGAGTACAATAGAGAAAGTGGATGCATACGCTCAGGAGATATGCTTCCATCTCACGGAGGCCATTAAAGCAACTGGAACCCGGGTCAGAAAGGAAAGCGGAAAATCTGCACCATGGTGGACTCCTAGGTGCAAATCCGCACACGCCGAATACCGAGCCTTGACATCACTCTCACAGCGGGCTATCTGTGCGAAGAAGTTACGTGAGACTATCACAGCCGCCAAGAAGGAGCACCAGACACGCCAAGTCGAAGAGATGACATCTCCGGCAGACATATTCAAGCTGATGCGCTCGGCCAACCATAGACAGGTCAGACCTCCTCCGCTGCTCAACTATAACAGTTCTGTTATCACCGACCCGTATGAGCGAGCCACAGTTCTCCGTGATGCTCTTCTTACATGTCACCAAGCATCGGACGATCTTCCTACGTGCACTGCTCCCAGTAATAACTGGATACCCTGGGAAGACGACATATCAGACAACGAGGTGCGAACTTGTACTATTGGCTGTACTAAGGCAGCCCCAGGAGCAGATGGAGTCACAGTTGAACTTCTTGAGGCCTGCTGGAAGACAATCAGACCGTATGTTACGCAGCTCTTTAAAGCTTACATACGGCTCGGCACGCATCCATCTTGCTTCAAACTTGCAGAAGTGGTACTATTGGAAAAGCCAAATTGGGATCCAACTTCAATCAAAGGTTGGAGACCAATCGCTCTACTCTCGTGCCTAGGCAAAGGACT